TCCATCAAATCAATCAATTCAATTTCTCTTCAATCTTTCAATATGAGCATCAAATTAGAAGGTGTAGAAGCATCTACCGTGACCCGGGAGACTAGACAAACCTCCCAAATTAATATGGTATTTTAATAGTGTTTATGATGTAATTGATATAAGTAGTGTTTATGATAGTGTCGGAAAATATGACTAATGACAACAATACAATAGATCTTTGCGTACATTGATAAATCATTGGAATCATTAGTGCCGGAGAAAAAGGAAGATGTCGCCAAGATAAGTCTTTCCGACTATAAATTGGATAATATCAATATCTGTGAAGCGATACATGAAAGATATAATGCTGAGATAATTGGGAAAAATTTATTTATCAAGGTGAATTTCGTTATAATTTACACACCACAGGCATATATATCATTTATTAATTTTGCCAATTTCATATAGTATGATGGATATGATAAGGAAGAAATTCACTACCAACTAACAAATTCAGCCAGGACACATAACCCAAACTGGGGCGTAAATTCTAATGTAATATGTGTGGTAGGAGGTGATAATTTTCGACCAGATATTGGCATTTGGTTTCGGAAGCCAACATTTGCACAACGGTCAAGGCCCATTGCCAACTCGTGCCCACCTCCAAACGTATGGATAGAGGTAATTGTTTTAAATTTTTTGAAAGAAACAATGCACAGTTTGCTTACCAGATTCGAATCCACTTAGGTTTTCTATAACAGAGAGCCAGATCGTAGTCACGCTTTATCTAAAATTGATTTAATTCAGCAACACTTGACAAACATAGAATATGTCGGAATCGCTATCCCCTATGCAGTCAATCCAATTCACCAGAACCAAAATCCCTGGACAGTTACGACACCTGCAACTCCAACACCCGAAATGCCTGCCAGAGCCCCATATATAATCCATTTGCGGGATGTGAATAGCATTCCGGTTTATTATAGAATGGACTGGAATGAACATCTAGTCCTTAGATGTGATTGGAGAATTGAATTCAACATTGTGCTTAATGTAATTTCTCAACCTTAGATGTAGTTGTAACTTGAAATTCAACATTGCCTTGCATTGTATTTGTTGAAATTGTTCATTGCTAATACTGTAGACACTTTGCTTAAAACAGAGATAAAATTTTCAATGCGTTTTATTATCATATGTTAAATTAATAAAATTAATAATATTATTGGGAAAAATGTCTTTTTTCGCTGACTGCTTTTGCTATAAAATACAACGTAAAGTCGTGAAGTAGAAGCATGAAAATATGCCAGCAGTGGTTAGTGTAATATCCAGCGTCATCATCATCAGAAAATGTTACTACGATTTAAGTAGCGGGAAAAAATTCAGATCATTTTATCTGCGCATATTAACTTTAGCGGAGCTAGTTCCACTAATATGTTATTTAATTCTGATTATATTTTTCCGAAATGGTATGACTTATTTTTCTGTGTATACAAATGTTTAGGAGATTAAGACCAGGTGTGACACGCTTATCACCCGAAGCAATTAGTGATATTATTACTGCTAAAGGTACAACAAATGCATTACCGATTCTAGCTAAAAAATATAATGTATCGCATGCACGGATTCGTGAAATATGGGAATTTGCTATTGCGATAAATAATTAGTAAAGCTGATATATATACATAACAAAAACATTTTCCCGCGATCACATGAGGTTGCTCCCTTGGGGCTCTGTCACATATGCGGATTCACACTCAATTATTGTCACTTACGAAACTACGAATTAAAAATAACAAATAATTGATAACTTTATTGATAATAATTGTATAGCAGAGCTAGTGTCTTTGACACATATTTCAGCATTATTTTTTATGCTACATTACAATGCGAAAGGCTGGCCTATATAGAATCGTGGAGTAGGAACAAAGAGGAAGGAATAAAGCACGTTAAAACATGTCTGCTCAGACCCCTAAGTCTTAAGATGACAGTTCCTTTTCCTACCCCACACTAGCTATCATTATTATTATCATCTTCTCCCTCCTCCTCACTTTCCAGTTCACTATCTATTTCACCCTTCTACTTGGACACCCATAATTTTAATGAATCTAGTGTATCCTCTTTCAGATTTTTAGTCGTTTTTTTATGAAAATTTCTAATGGTGGCATCACTGATTGCTACACCCTTCTTATGCTTAATTACGAGCTCACGAATTTCCTCAGCAACCTTGGGGTACAGCCTTACCATGGACCATTTTTCAGTACATTTTTTCTCGTTGAATAATGCATCAATTTCTTCCCACAGTTCGAAAATGATACCAGCATAATTTTGAGGTGATTTGGATGTACCAGATTCCATATTACTACTTCTCGCAACCCCATCACGGACTTCACGAATATCGTATCCAAGATGTTTCACAGTCTCAGATAGATCAGAGATACTTTTTTGTTGCTTCTTTAATGCTAATGTCATTTTTGCGTTGAATTGCTTTTCAGTGTTTCCAGAATTGTATCTGGTCAGGATGTATAGAAATATCATTTGAATCAGCATGAAGCCAGCAAGCAGTAAAAAATCGGGAGTAATCGAGAACATTTTGATGGGTTTGTGTGATTTGTAATTCGATTGCATTTTAACGAAACTAACATGACTAAGATTTTGCGATTATAGATTATGATTGCTATTTGGGAATTATATGGATCAGTAACTGGAAACACTGGTCGAAAATTATGTTTTTGCTTGAAGATTATGTGATAATGTTGTTTGGAATTACGTGTGTTTTCGTGTTTTAAATGATTACTCTGTATCTTAGGCCAGACCCACTAAGACAACGCATGTTTTTATACATTAAAACTTAGCATCAGCTATCCATAGCATTGGTTCTTTACATCTCATACTAAATCGAGGCAATAGATTATTAGTGATCACAAAATATGATGTCTTCATACTATTTATGTCGAATTTGCGCATCGGGTGATCTGTCACCTATAAAATCATCTGTGCATATATCATTGATAATTGACAATTCCTTATATGTACCACACGATTCTTGTTTGTTACTTAATTTAGATGGAATAAGGGCCTATTTCAGAATAAATGGGTTTCGATTCTCAACATGTATCACAGGTGGTGTACGTGTAATGCAATCCCGATAATCATGATTAATTATTTTAACAAAGCTAGTATGGTTGATATACACTATATATTTGATCAAAAAAAAGAATTATCCAAATACATATGCACCAACTTGGGTAAGGGATTTTGTTACCTCTTACAATGAGTAAAAGAAAAAATTTAAATCGAAAAATATTTATTGTTTAGATATTACACATTCTTACTTTGCAAATTTTTCGTTTAGTAGGATGTTTCTTAACGGATGTCTGTGAAGCAAGGTGTTTTGCACTTATCCTATACATATCTATAACTTCTGGTCGCAATCTAGACGAAGAAGAATCACTCGAGTCTGAAGTATCTGAAGAATCTGACTTTACCCATAGTATCTTTCCTTTATTTATACAACTTAGTTCTTACTCGATAATACAAAGTTTTTCAAAAATTCTATACTCTATATCATTTTCTATAGAATGGACCGATTTCCAAATATTATTGAGGTGTGTTTTGATTGAAAGATTTCTGCCTTCATCACCTAAATCTACTTTAGGATATTTCTTAATCTTGCTAACTCTTCTATGTATTGGAGATACAGGAAGTATGTCGTCATGATGCCTCTTTTATTGCTTATTATCTTTGCTTCTGAGAGATAAATTTTCGAACATATTCGTGAGTTCCTCCAATAATAGATCAGGCCCAGGTGAGATATTTTTAGTGGTGCTGGCTTTGTTAAAATTTTTATCGATTAATAGGATGCTCATACCTTCTATTATAATTTTAGCACGGTGTTCATAGGTTTCAGAAGAAAATCCAAAGCTTATTTTTGCTTCATGCACCTATAACCAATCTTGTCTCAATACCAGATCGAATGGTGGATTTTTGCAAATCTCGAAGTTTATTGCATCGGTACTATCTAAGCTATAATATGTTTCCTTATACTGGAATTGTAAATCCAAACAATTTATTTCACCTATTGCATCTCCATAAAGATTCTTAACAAGGCTACAGGTAGGGCATATTTCATGATTTGATTTAAGTTTATCGAACAACTTCTTACTAATGGTATTAAATTTTGAGGATGTATCAATTAATGCTTTGACTGGGGTTTTTCCTTCGACGAGTGTATCAACGAACATATTAAGTGTATTTAATAATGTATATTATCACGAAAAATAACTAATAACTTGATAAATAATTATACATTCTCAAGATCGAAAGAGCCTGTCTCAGATTTGGATGTACAATCCTCTAAGCTAACTGAGAAATTAAATATGGCAGACAGGTAGGCCGACTTGCTTTCCTACATTAGGTAAATATAATTCGTTAAATAAAAAATTATCATGCGGTATCATTTTATATAACTCAATAATTGTTTTTTCTTTTTTACTCTGTAATATCATTTCGGATGTATAACAGCCTTACACATGTGCTTATCATCTGATTCTGAACTAGATGTGGAAGAACCACTTGTATCAAAAGTATCAGAAGAATCAAAGGTTCAATGCTCTGCATCATTAGAGTTAGAAGAAGCGGAGTTGTAAAATTCATCAACACTATTTTTAGTAACACACACTATAACTTTCCTCCCTTTCTTCTCAGTGAGATTTTTAATACAGAGAGTTGTTCTTACCCAAGTATCTTCTGCATCGGTTACAATTTCAGGTATGTATGTTTGGAGCTCATCATCATTATATTTGCGACCACAAAATCAATTATTACCGAGTAGTATATAATTAGGCAATTTAGAGTTATATTTTTCAACTAGCACTTCGGTTGGTATGGTAATAGATTTCTTATTATTAAGTTGAACATTATTTTTTATGTTAGAGGTGAAGGTAAGTGGGATTATAGTAATTCCAAGTGGAGCTGTGGTTTCTTCTCTAACGAATTCACTATCTTTTTCTTCGGGAGTTAGCTTTCTGTTAATTTTACCGTTGATTTTCTTGAGGAACTTATCACTACACATGGAAGGACCGTGAAAACCTGGTTCAAGATGACAATTAACTTTTTGCCCCCCTACTTTAGCTTTGACTATTTTTGCTTTCATGATGATAATTTATATTATATATTATATATCTTTACTGAAAAAAATTAAATATAACAGATGCGTAGGCCGACTTATTTTTCTACATTAGCCAAATATAATTTATTAAACAAAAAAATATATCATTATTAGTAAATCTAACTCACTGCCATGAATTAGGTTTGATGATTTCGGTTACATTCTAAACAAATAAGACGTATATTTCCTTCTATATGTCCTAGATCATTATTAATCTGATCAACTGTCCATTGATCTGAATCTATTGTTACATCCCATTCTCACAACATTTCATTAAGACATAATTCACATTTATTTTCTTGCAAATCTTTTAACTTGAGGATATAGTCAACAGATAGATTGAATTCACAATCTTTTTTCTTATCTTGATTCATATACCTTACAAGTTTTCCTGAAATAAATGGTCTTAAGGATTGCTCAATTGCTTTTTTATTTCTTGCTCCACTATTTCAGGAGGTAACGGGGGACCTTCTATCTGAATAAGTTAGCTCAAATATTCTACACGACCAACTGCAAGATAAACTAAATTATCCCATGTCAAATGTTTATCAATAACCCAAACACGTTGTGGAGTCTCGAGTGTCATTCCTTGACTAGTATGTACAGTCATGGCATATCCCAAATCCCAGTCAAGTATTTTTTCTTCACCTGACATGTCTTCTATAAACTTTTTAGAAAGCAAATTTAATAATAAATATACTCTATCATTTTTTACTAGTTCTCGTTTCTCAGATGAACCGGGAATTTGGATAAAGCAGTTTTGTTTACATTTATCTCTTGGCCTATAGATTAAAGGAATTGATATATTAGGGTATTTTATATAATGAAGTTTAAGACATATTTGCGATGCGAGTCTTCGAGAAAGTCGATGTGCTAATAAAATTCGATCTGATGGTGTCCATTCAGCTTCAAAATAATTCCATTTTTCTATAACTGGAATTGCTTCACGAAATAATTCAGATTGCACTCGATTATTTTTATGACGCATTCCCTTTTTGAGTTCATGTAACTTAAGACATTTAGCTCGATAATCAGTTATAACTTCCTCATAATAATTAGCATTTTTTTTCAACTAGTCATGAGGCATTTCTCCAAAGAATGGTGGAGGCTGGGCATCATCTTCACAACAGATTACCTGACATTTATGTTCCAGCAAATAGTTAATAAACATTTCGAGAATATGTTTAAGTACTATACATACCTCATCCCAGATAATGACTTGTGAAAATTTCTTTTCTTCCATACATTCAGGTGTCCAATTCCCTACACCATTCCATCGAAAGAAGCTATGTCATGTTTGAGCTTTTACATCACAGTTTTCTCAAAAATCTTTGGCTAATGCATTTGTATGTGTAAAGATAACCATATTTATATTTTTAAAAATCTGAATTGCACGTGTTGTTTTGCCAGACCCTCCTCCTCCATTGAGATATGATTTTTGGCATCTTGTAATTGGTCGTGAATTGAGGGTGCTGTACTATCAGAAATATTTTTGATTGATTCCCAATGCCTATTCTTTGGCCAGTATATAATATCGCAACTGGTCCATATATTTTTTCACCCTTATCACGCCATTGACCAGATTGAATTTCTTGAACTTCTTGCTCTTCTGGCCGATTTAACTGCTTCTGACAAGAATCTGATTTATAAAACCATTCCCCAAAGCAAAATCTGCAAACAAATGGGTTATGCTTTTTACAATTATATTTTACTAAAGGCGTTTTGATTTTTTAAAACTCTTTAATCCATTTTGCATATTCTGATTTTGGAATAAGAAATTCCTCTGGATCATTACACATTGCACAAGAAGAATAGTGTGAACATAAAATTGGATCTGACTTTATCTCAACTTGCTTGAAAAATGCCGGTATATTTTCGATCTTATATAAAGCCTCTTTTCGTACATATATAGAATCTGTAGTAATCCTTATTACTTTATTTGGTTGAAATCTCCGTAGCATTTCCAACAAGTTTATATGAGCATAAGCTAATATTGAGGCTCGCAAATGTGTGTACTGAGGTTAATGGCCCTCATAATATGTAAGTATAAATCCGAGTGGACATTTCTCCCTACCTGTAAAAGTTCCAGCATCTGTACAATCTTTGATCAAGAAATCAAGCTCACCTTCATCCGTTACAAGTCGATGAGTAAGACGCTTTTCATCAATTTTGTCACCTTGTGTAAACTTACCTATAATTGCACAACTAATATCTCAATTTTCTGGTAGCCATACTTTGGTTTGCTGTGTAAAGGAGATAATTACTTCTCCAATAGTTAAATTTTCTAGAATATCAACTTCGAGAAGATATCGTAGAAGTACAATAAGAGCCCATCCTTTATTTTTTGCACATCCTTCTCCACTCCGACATGCAAAATGTTTTCTATACCAGACAGGAATTACTGGATGTATATTTGACGCAAATTTAAAAGACCTTACTTGTGCAAACCCAGTAATATCTTCCTGTGGAAGTTCACCATTTACCACTACTTTAACAAGATAATGCGTTGGATGTTCAAATTTATTGAACCATGGTATACATTCTCCTTGATCTCGCATACTTGCTGGATAACATTCTTTCATGTCAATACATACAACGTCACTGATATGGTAATCAGGAGCATTCCAGCGTCCGCCGTGGCCATGCTCAACACAAGCTTGTTTTATATCCACATTTATTTTTTCAGATATTGGATGTCATTCATTGATTTCGTTGGCAAGTTGACTTCCAGCATGATTTGCGCCAAATACTTGTTCTGCCAAGTCAACTACTTTGAGAGACTCTGAAAGAATCGATTTCTTTTCGTCACTAATTATGTTCTCTTGAAATTACCAATTTATTACATCATCGACTAATTGTTTACATGATTCTATAATTTCTGTATACTTTTTCCATGTTCTGAATGTGTGACCATCTTCTAAAACAAATTGAGATACTCTTTGGATCTCATCTCCTACTCCCATAAGCCAGATTGCTTGAGGACCTTGAAGAGCATTATTAATAGCTTCCCAAGTATCGTTCTTATAATATTCGACCATTCAGTCTCTTGGAAAATGCTGGTTTCTTAAAAACGCACGTCCATTATGTACCACCATTTCTATTTCTTCATACTTACCTGATCGATATTTTCCACTATCAAAGATTTTTCCGTGAGTAATATCGAGCAATGTTATTGACCGTTTGAGAATTTTTTCTAATTCTGCTACATCCTGTACTCGAGCGCTAGGAATTCACATTTTTTTCTCCCATGTATCAATTTTTTGACAATGAATATTTGTGAGCCCGTGCCCTCTCTTGGCTTGATTAAAATGTTCTACTACTCGTTGAGCTACACAATTAAATGCTCCATCTTTCATAGGCATTAGTCGATTAATATCTGGTTTTCGAATTTGATATAATCCATAGACTACCGCATTGCTATCAAGTCTTCTTACTTCAGATTGCCCACTAACTTCTCTAACCAGAAATTTTTCATCTATTCCTACCCAAAAGCCTGGTTTTGTTTTCTTTATGAGTATGACGTTTGGACCACCCCGGACATATTTACCACTAGCCCTTTTTGATTCTCGAATAGGCTCATACTTGTCTTCGATTTTAAAGCTTCTTTTTATATATTCTCCTTTCGGAGATATTTCTATATCAGCTCGAATGAATTTTACCCGTATTAAGAACTCGCCATTATCGATCGCATTTAAAATTTCTTGAGCTCACTTTTCAGTCATCCCAGCTTCATACTTTCTTAATTTTATTTGATCTTTCACATCTCTTAACCATTTTTTACTCCCTTTATCTGATGCTCTATAAACTTCTACTGCCATTTCTAGATTTTCATTGATTTCTTCTTCCGAATAATTATGATATAAGCATTCCAAAAATACTGCTTGTATAAGTTCATCTTCATTTTTTGCTTCTAATATTTCATTGACCAAATTGAGCTCTTCAGCTTCTGTAAACCAGGTCGAGAAAGCATATTCAGCTCCGTCTACTTTGAACATATCCTTTGTAGTCTGAATTCCATTTTGCCATATTGCATGGTGTTCTTTGTCATTGGGAAATGGAACTGGCCAAGGCACTTCTATATCTAAATCTAGAAACCCACCTTTGTGATTAAGCAATTCTTGAACGGGTTGTAATTCTGTATTAGCTGATGGCGTAGTCTGTTGAGTTATTATTTCTTCTGATTCAGTAAGTCTACCTTCACGATGAACTTGGGTTTGGGGACCTGGACCAGCTTCGGGATCGATTTCTGGCTGTACCATTGGAGATAACTCATGTTGAAGATTTGCTTCCTCGATTTCAGGTTCACCAAAGAATTCTTGTTCTTCTTTCGTCTGCTTTGTAAGTTTTATATTACTATATGCTTCTTCATCTATTTGTAATAAAGTATCATAAAGAATTTGACAAGCTCTTAAAGTTCGTGGTTGATCATAATCTTCATAACATAATTCCTTATACCTTTTTCGTAATCTTGAGCCCCATTGCTTGACAGATTCATTTGACTTTCTGGCATTGAGATTTTGGAATTGTAAATTTGAATCGGGTAAGGATTCTGAATTGGGAACTGGTACAGTTACTTGTGGTATAGGTTGAGTATTATGAGATAGTTACAATAAAGCCTGGCATGGCCTATCTCGTGTTAGATCCATATGCCTAGTAAGATCTCTTGTTTTCTTGGGACTAAATCCACATGGACATTTACCTACCATGTTTTCCGGTGTTTTTTATTATATATAATTATTCAGATCTTTTGTTTAAATAAAAAATATTTATTTCATTTATATATTTTGCCTACCTATCCTTTTTCTCTCGTATTCAGAAAAAGAGATATATAAATAATGACATGTATTATCAAATAAAATTACACCTCATTCTCACATATCTAACTTAAAACCTCTAACTTCAAACATATATGTGAGAAGACAGGACAACGACACAAAAAAAAATTACTATACATTAAATCATATCAGATACTTTATTTTTTCGTTATCAGTTTCAACTTTCTACCATTTTAAAATGTATAAGAAAGACAGTGTAATTTATAGTGATTAATAAAAGATTAAAGCCTCTCTAGATATACAATTATTTCACTAGTCAAATTCCCATTAAAGATACTTAAAACTAATGAGAATCTCAAACTATTGATTTGGACGATTTATAAAAAATTAAAGACATTCTAGCTATGCATAAAATTATACCAAATCCCGAATATTAAAATTTTTTTATATCGATTTAAGAGTTCTAAAGCCATAAAATTCACAAGAAATACACTATACAAGAAAGCTTTCAATCTGATTCCTTAATTAGTTTTTGTCTAATGTTCTCAAGAAAGCGCTAAAAAAGTCAGAAAAGCATAAAACCCAAAGGTGAAAAAGTGAGGAACACAAAATAGAAAGTCTGCTCGCGCTCCCTGCTGCTCAAGGTGCATTAAAATTTTTTTCAAATAAAATGTCCTGAAACCAGAACCTTTTAAAATGAGCAAAAATTACAAATAAAAAAAAGAAAAGTTGAAATACGAGAGAAAAGTTGGCAATAGTAACATTCTTTGAAAGAAATCCTCAAGCTTCTAAACGTAGTGTAGCAGCAAAATTTAATATAGAACCTAAACAATTAAGAGACTGGCTCAACAAAAAAGAACAACTTTTATTAACAAAACCACATATTAAAAAACTTTCTACTAGTGCAAAACCTCGATATCCAATATTTGAAATAGAACTTTTCAAATGGATTAAATCTTTACACTCTAATCAAAAAGTAGTTTCCCGTTATATGATACAAGAAAAAGCTAAAATTTTATCTAGAAAATTGCAATATACTACAATATATCCTAATATATTAGAATGCAAATGGGGTAATAAATGGTTAGAGAGATTTATGTGCCATTATAAACTTAGTAATCGCTGCCGTACAACAATAGCACAAAGGTTACCAAAAGATTTAATAGAAAAACAACATGAATTTTTAAATTTTATTCTTTATTGCTGTATTCAATATGATTATTCTTTAAGTTTAATTGGAAATATGGATGAAACACCCCTGACTTTTGATATGCCTAGCAATATGACAGTAGAAGAAACAGGTTCTAGAACAGTTAGCATACATACTACAGGGCACGAAAAATCAAATTTTACTGTGGTATTTTCTTGTATGGCAGATGGTACTAGAGATGTGATCTGTGGATGACCAATCCGTCAATCCGACGGATTATCCGTGATATCACGGATTGATGGATTACTTTTTAAAAATTTATATAATCCGGATTAAAAAAAAAATAATCCGGATTAAAAAATCTACCTTAATTTTCCCACATTCCTTTTTTTATTTATTTAATAACATGGCGTAGAGATG